ACACTGTTGTCTGTTATTTAGGTAATTTTTAAACCAATTTAAAGCTTGATTTTTTACGCCATAGTTTTTCATTTTTTCCAGTAAAATCTCGTGGTTGACGGTGTCAAATGCCTTTGACAAATCAATAAAGATCCCTAATGTAATTTTTTTTTTTTTTAAATGATCTACTTATCCTATTCGATAGGTCAAGAATTGCATGCTCAGTTGAGTGTAGCTTTTGAAAACCATATTGACCTTTATTGATAATTTTGTTCGTTTTTAAATATTCGTTTAATTTATTATAGATTATTCGTTCTAAAAGTTTTGAGAATACCGAAAGGATTGAGATTGGCTTGTAATTGTTTAAAGAATTGGTTTCTCCTGACTGTGGAAAAAAAGGACATTTCTCTAAAGTATATCTTTCAAAGCAAAATAACACCTACTCAACAGTCGCAGCTATCTTAAAACCAACATTAGCAACCAGAGGCGATTTTACGTGTGTGTGTGTGAGGTGTTACACCCCCACCCGTTAAAGAAGGTGATTTTCAAATTATAGTCGTTTTTTTTTACAAATTTAGTCAGCTAGATGGGTATTTGACACAATTCAGTTGGTTAAATTTTCGTTTTGAAAACCTTTTCCTTTTTTTTTTTTTTTTGAAGCCAGTAGTACTTTATGAGGATTCACCCCCCCCCCCCCCCGCCCTCTATTTTATTTGCAGAATCGCCTCTGTTAACAACTACTACTCTACAGCCGTTTTTCAAAACGCCTTAAGTTGCTTTTTACGTATTTCGAGAAAAATACTATTTGATACATATTTTAAATTTTGCAGTTTTACAAGAGATTTGTTATTAAAATTTTTATATAAGCTTCATTATCTTAATTATATTATATATAGGAAAAAAAAAATCAACTTAAAAAAAATAAGTATTTGTGTTGAATTTTTTTGTCGGAAAAAACGTAGAAAGGCTTTTTGTATAGATAAACAATAACAAGTAGATTTACTTCAATTTTTCTCAATAAAATTTTCCAAAAATTTGACTACGTATTCAAACCGTATTGAATATACGTTTTTAAAAAATATATATCGATATATGTAAATTTTTTCTCGTTGAAAATCAGTATTTTGACTTCAAAAATATTATTTATTTTATTTCAAACTGTAACTATTTTTGTGTTTTTATTTCACGCAACATTTAGAGCAATCATTACAACTAGCTCCAGATAATTTGCGGTCGTTTTATAAACTTTTACACAAAAATCATCTATTTAAATCACTCATCCAAATATTTTATTATCTGTAACTTTTTACAAACTCATCAACCTAAAAACTTTATCAAAATACTAATAAAAATCTATTCAAAATGGACCTTATTTTTCAGAACAACAATAACTGAAGTGATGAGAATTCAGAAAATGAAAATAACAAGGAATCCACAGTGTTAAATAAAGGAACATCGCAAGAAATTTCACAAAAAATAGAAAAGATTCTGAGATAAAAGAAAATCGATACATAAAATTATTGTCACTAATAGTATAGGATCACTAAAAACGTTCAAAACGCAAATTTTACTCACAAAATGATTAATAGCAAATCCAAAAAGTTCAATTTCCGCTATTTTATAGTTGGTGACTATGATGTCAACTATTTAGTATGCCGAAAATTTTATCTTTACATTTTAGGATGGAAAAAGACAAATAATAAAATCATTAGTCGAGCTTTTAAACAAACAATTCCAAACAATTCAAAAAAAAAGACAACAGCTAAACATAGAAAGTATAAAGTAGAAGAATTAGTTGCGCACGTAATGCACTGTTAAAAATTTCCGTTAAAAAAACGGAAATTTATTCCGTTATTTCAACGGAAAGTATCCGTATGTCCATGTATGGATGTATTATCTAGGGTTAGGACTATTGTTATTATTATTGTAAAAATTAAATACAATAACAATTACAATACAATAATATTGTATTGCAATACCAGAGATGCAATTAAAACATTATTTATGGTTATTGTATTGCTGCGAATAAAAACAGTTAGAATAATTATTGTATTGTTTTTTTTTTTCTAACAAAACATTGAAGCTCTAAAACTATTGTATTGTATTGCTGTGATGTAAAACAATTACAGTAACTATTGTATTGTATTGCTGTGATGTAAAACAATTACATTAACTATTGTATTGTATTGCTGGGATCAAAAAACTTACAATAAGTACAATAATGTATTGTATTACTATTTCAAAGTCTAATAGCTATTGTATTTTATAGTATTTAGACTCTTTTTTCACGCATTTTTATCATTTGGGTACTAGATAATTTAGGGGTGCCCGTGACGCTCGTTTTCAGCAGTCATTTATATATATATATATATATATATATATATATATATATATATATATATATATATATATATATATATATATATATATATATATATATATATAATTTTTATTTATTTTCAGAAGTGAAGTGAAGCCAGGGAAGCCAAAGAAGTATATATACTATGTATACCTAATAAATATTTGGTTCAGGGGCGCACGTGGCACCCATTTCTAGCAACCATTTACATATATAAATTTTATTTATTTTGAGTTCAATAATATAACTGTTTAAATAATAATTTATTTAGAATTAACATTAGTAATATTCATTCAAAATCATACAAATATATAATTTATTATATGCTTGTAATTAAATAATTATTTACTTTAAGAAGTAAAATTTTTTTTTTTTTTTTATAATTTTGTCTAAACTGATATTGTTTCACAGGATGATGACGTCTAAACTAATTGATTAACTACATTATGTATTTTTTCAATTTATCTAACCGCTAATGTGTAATCAACTACATCGTTATGGAATCAAAGAACCTTTGACCTGGGTAATTATCTATTAGATTGGTTTTGTTAAATTTTTTTTTACATTTTTAGATTGTTCATCACCTATCAGACCGTACCAGTAAATTTTGTGTGGATCATTTTTAAAAAATGAAGCAGTTTAGAACACCAAATAAATATTGTTCTTGATTTATGTAACAAAACTCTTTTATAACTTTGCAACTAGATGTCCAGTTACTTTATGAAACACATATAGCCATAAAGCGGTAGGGAGGCACAAGACAAAGTTATATTAGAGTAAGTGTGAGTTGAGTAAGTTTCGAAATTGGATAGGTGCCTAATGTAAAAGTAAATAACTTAGTGGAAGAAATGGTAGTAATTAATCATGTCTATCTCTAGCAGTAAAAGAAATACAGGTCCGATTAAACTCACTTTTATAGAGCAATACAAAAATTATAAAATAAAAAAAAACAGAATCAATACTTATATATTAGTTGTACCCTATTTCAAGGTCACTTATCTCAGAGACTGGACTGTTAAAACATTTATTAAATTTTGACTCTAAATTAATTTTTTTTATTACAATAAAGATATATTGTTATTGTATTATAAAGACGAATTACAATACAAAATTTATTGCTATTGTAGTGGGTCATTACAATACATTTTTTTTCAGATATTGTTATTGTTTTATAAAGATGAATTGCAATACAATATTTATTGTTATTGTGTGACAGTATTACAATAGTTGTAAACCACAAGTATTGTTATTGTTTCTAAATTAAGTTAATACAATAACAATAGTTATTGTTACTGTTATTGTTTTCATTACAATTACAATATTCCTAACCCTAGTATTATCCTTCGACCATATAAACTGATAGACCCGCCGTAAGTTATATATTTTGAAACCAACATCTTTTAGCGCGTGACGTCACGTATGTCATTGTAATGTATTTAAATTAGATTTACTGTATTAAATTACTGGTGATATTATTGTTAACATAAATGATATAGTTATCAACATTGTTCCTAAAAAAAAAAAAAAAAAAAATATATATATATATATATATATATATATATATATATATATATATATATATATATATATATATATATATATATTTACGAACAATAATGTTGATAATCATACCATTAATGTTAATATTAGACTTACTGTATAACATTAATGTTATACAGTAAGTCTAATGCGTATATATATATATATATATATATATATATATATATATATATATATATATATATATATATATATATATATATATATATATATATATATATATATATATATATATATATATAGGCACACAATATATATGTTACAAAAACTAAACTTAAAAGTTTTAAATCAATATATGTCATTGCAAAAAGATTAGTTACATTAGACTTACTGTATTTGAATCATTGGTGGTAATATTTGAAATAATTCTGTCTATATTTTTTGGTAGTTTTCTAGAATAAATACTTTTTCATAAAAGTGTTGGGAAATTAAATATAGAAGAAATTGCATTTTTTTTTTAGTTTCTTTTGTGAACTCGAAAGACTTCCTTTATACCAGTGAAATATTTACCACAACGTTTAGACAGTTTACTAGGAGTAAAACCATCACTCCACATAACTTGTATCCATTTTCTCCTCAATTCTATATCTTTCAGAAAACTACCAACAAAAATAAGCATATTAAAATAATATGCTATTTATATTTAAAATATAATGTAGGATTTTAGCAAATAATGATTTGTAGCTACTTACACATGAAAAGAAACCCTTTTAATATATCTTTAAGTGCAATTATATGCAAAACAAGATAACATCATGATCTTTATATATCTATATTCTATTTGAAAATCAAAATTTAAACAAAATAATATACATAACAAATAATAAAACTTTAAAAATGTTAAATACATTCATACACCCTAAACCGATATTATAAATTGTTTAATGCCCAAACGTGACGTCACGCGCTAAAAGATGTTGGCTTCAAAGTTGTGTGAACATTTACTGGCGGTAAGGCGTGTCTATCAGTTTATATGGTCGAAGGTATTATCCATCGATTATAAACGGAAATTTTCCGTATTTGTAGCTAAATTTTCAAATTCGGAAATTTCCGTTGTATTTATAACTGAAAATACGAACACATATAAGGGTTTCAGTTAACCCTTTGAGCGCGACGAGCCACGATCGTGGCTATACCGTCAGAGCGCGAAGAGCCACGATCGTGGCTTTAAAAGTGGTCTTTGAAACTATGACTTTTTACAGCAAAATACCGCTGATCGTTCATTAAAAATGGTAGCATTGAATAGAGCACATTTTTCTCTATCTTTTGGTATATTGTTGTTATATATTTGGTTTTGAAAATGAGCGACAGTGAAGAAAGTTGCATGGATGACGAGAGTTGTACCAGCGAAGAATTTTTAAGTTCCAGCGATGACAGTTTGTTTGATGAAGGCACGATAACTTCAATTAAAAAATTGTAAACAATATTATTTAATACAAATATATCACCTAGTATGATAATTTGAAGTTTTTATTTTAATTTTTATGTAGACTTTAGTTCTGATGGCGATGTTGATGTAGGTGATGTTGGTGGTAATGTTTTAGACGAATGGTTATTTGTTTTAGAAGATGAAAATGGTCCTAATGTTGTTCACTTTACTGGTGAATCAGGACCCAAGCACTCAATTTCACCTGAGTCTAAGCCTATTGAATATGTGGACTTGTTTTTTACAACTGAATTTTTGCAAAATATAGTAAATTTTACCAATAATTATGCTGACACGTGGATTCAAAACAATCAACAACATTTGAGGTCCCATCCAACATCAAGAGGTCATGGATGGATTAAACAAGGAAAGACCAATCTTTTAGAGATAAGAGCTTTCCTTGGAGTCATAATCAACATGGGTCTCGTTAAAAAAGCTAATCTTAAACTTTACTGGGATATAAGTCATCCTTGTACATCTACTCCCTGGTTTGTTACCCACTTCAATCGTGACCGGTTTCAACTTTTGCTTAAATTTCTTCATTTTACAGACATCCATATACCAAATCAACAACCACTCAATAAAATTTATAAAATTCAGTTTTTAGTTGAACATTTTAACAACAAATTTCTATATTATTATTATCCACAAAAAGACATTTCTATAGATGAAAGTATGGTTGGCTACAAAGGAAAGACACCACATCTGCGTCAATATATGCCAAACAAACGTCATTCTAGGTTTGGGATTAAGTTATGGTGTGTTTCAGACAGCACTAACGGTTATTTGTGTCAATTTGAAATTTACAAGGGAGGAAAAGACCCAGATGTAGCAGCCATTGCCTATGGTATGACTTATAGTTTAGTTTTTCGTCTTTTGCGCCAAACTAATTTCCTCCACCAAGGTCATCACTTAGGTATTGACAATTATTATACTTCTCCTCAACTGTTATTAGATCTTTATGCTCATCAGACCACTGCAACAGGCACAGTGAGAGTCAACAGGAAAGGCCTACCAGAAACCTGCATTAAATCGAAATTAAAAAATAAGGAGGTATGCCAATATAGAAAAGGTCCCTTGTTGTGTGTGGCATACCAAGATGGTAAAAAAAAGCCTATATTATTATCTACTGTTGCCAAAGCAGGTTTTACTGAAATGCGTAACAGAAGAGGAAATATAGTTATGAAACCAAATGTTGTTGCCCTTTACAATAAAACCATGGGGGGTGTAGATTTGGGTGATGCACAGCTCTATGTGTACTTGTCTGAGCGTAGAACAATAAAGTGGACTACTAAAGTTGCTTTTTCTTTATTTGGTAGAGCAATTTTAAATAGCTATTTATTGTATAAGCTCAATACAAATGAACAAAAGCCAATGTCAAGAATAGATTTTATGATGGCTATAGTGGAAAGTTTAGCCGGAGGTTATTTTCCAGTAAAAGTAATTTCTAAAAGAAGAACATCAAGAGAGATTGAATTGGCTAGAAGTACAATTGTCCCATATCCACTTCCCCAACACACTGCAAGTAGCAATCCATTATATGGTCACAATCTTGTTAAGGTTGGTGCAGGAAAAAAAATAAAATGTGTAGCTGGGCACCAATCTCGAGTCCGCACAAGTTGGCAGTGTCAGTTATGTGGTGTTGGACTGTGTCCAGCCTGTTTTTCCAATTATCACACAACAGTTGTGCATTAAAATCATTAAACTTCTTTTAATCTTATATAACCTACAAAAAAATAAAAAAGTTCAAAAATAGTTGTTTTTTTGTTTGTTTGTTTTTTTGTTACGTTTATTGCCAATTTTTTTTGCCGATATTTTTTTAGTTGAATTTTTCTGAACGGCGTTCAAATTTTATCGAGCGCTCAAAGGGTTAAGGAAGGATAAATTTATTTTCATTCTTCTTTCTTTTTCAACTTCTTTTTTTAAATAACAAGAATGGAAATAGTTTGCTAACCTTTAATGGAATAGTTTGCTAACCTTTATATATATATATATATATATATATATATATATATATATATATATATATATATATATATATATATATATATATATATATTAAGATGCAAATTTGAGATAACAAGTAAGACATTCCCAAACTTTATTTATATAAAAAAACATAGTTTATACACACACATATAATGTGTGCATAAACTATGTTTTTTCATATAAATACATATGTATATATACATATATTATATGTATATATATATATATATTATATATATATATATATATATACATATATATATATATACATATATATATATATATATATATATATATATATATATATATATATATATATATATATATATATATATATATATATGTATATATATATATATATATATGTATATATATATATATATATATATATACATATAATATATGTATATATACATATGTATTTATATGAAAAAACATAGTTTATGCACACATTATATGTGTGTGTATAAACTATGTTTTTTTATATAAATAAAGTTTGGGAATGTCTTACTTGTTATCTCAAATTTGCATCTTAATTTTCTTTCTTATTTAATAATTTAGTGTTTTAGATATTTTATCAAAAAAATTTAATTAAATTGCACAATTATTTATAGATTAGTATTTATAATTAAACATATAATTAAGCAAAAGTTACAAATATGATATGTTTTTAACAATATCTTAAAATATTTTAAAATCTGCAACATGTTTTCTAGATTTGATAGCAATTATGTGTGATCACACTTTCTATTTTCTGAAACCATCTGCGTGCATTTCAATTGCAAGATATATGATCACCTATGGAATCAATTAGAGTTAATTGGAAATGAGCAAGTTGTGCTGATGTAGGAGTCACTGCATACTCTATATGTAGATACATTCATATGTAAAGAAAAAGAGATAAAAGTATATATTTTCTTTTTTAGAAAAAAAATTTTTTTTTTCATTGAAGTTCTTACAAATTAATGTAAAAAAATAAATTTAAAAAGAAAAAAGATATTTTAAAACAGTTTCTAATTAATGCCAAGTAATCCATAAGATTTAACTAATAAATCTTGAACAATAAATCTTTAACTGATGAAAAGTATTACAAGTAGCATTTCCTCACAGCAAAATCCTAAATCTTAGTCCATAGTTTAAGACATTTAGTTCTTAAAACAATAAATATTTATCTTGTTTAAGAAATAAACTTCCTATCCCCCAATTTGTTTCTTAAAACAAGAAATATATTTCTTGTTTTAAGAAATAAATTACAGTGTAGGAAATTTTTTTCTTGCTTTAAGATTTACAGCAATATTGTTAATCTAGTGTTTATAGTTTAAGAAATATATTTCTTGTTTTAAGAAGTAAATTGCAGGATGGGAAATTTATTTCTTAAAACAAGCAATATATTTTTTGTTTTAAGAATTGAATGTCTAAAACTGCGTACAAAGATTTACAATTTTGCTGTATTCATATTTTCATTTGTATTTGTGATTTTGCTTTATTTATATTTTCATTTGTATTTTCATTCATTTGTATTAAAGCATTTATATTTGTGTTGTTAGGTATATGGTTGGCTATAATATGGAAAGTTCAAAAAGTACAAATCCGCAAAGCATAAAGTATAAATATGGAATCTGGAAGCACTGAAAAAGCATTGTGTTGAATCTGGATACAATATAGAGAGAAAAAATAGTAAGTGTATTTATATAAATTAGTAAGTGTAAAAAGTGTATTTATATAAATAGTAAGTGTATTATATAAAAATTTAATAATAATATTTATATTTTAATAAAAAGTTAAAGAGTTCGTTTAATTTTTTTAAACTATTTTTTATTATATTATATTAATGTTTTTGTTATTTTTAAACTGATAATTTTGCTTATGGTCTACTATTTGATGAATTTATTTATGGTCCATCATATCAAGAACACAAGATACGATCATAATGTTAATAGACCACTGGTGTTGATTCAAAGGTAAAAACAAATTTTTCAAAGCAGTTGAAGTTAATATTATAAGCATATAAAATGTTTGAAAAATGCTTATGCAAAAGCTTATACAATAATATGTAAGCTTAAAAAAATTTAAAAAGAAAGAATAAGCTTATGCAAAAAGTGAATTAAGGCTCAGAATATATGCTTATCTTTCTTAATTCCACAGATTTTAATTTATAATCTATGTCATGATTATGTAATTTATTTTGTGTTTAGATATATGTTTGACTACAATCAAGAGAATGCGAGAAAAAACGCAAAAAGAAAGAAAGATAACAGTTATTTGTTCTAAAAGCATATATATAATATATATATATATATATAAATTTTTATTTAACTTTTTTTATACAATATTTAGAGCAACAATTTATGTCATTAATAATTGCAGAATATATTTATGTCATGAGTATTTTCCAGAAATTTTCCGTTATTTTACAGAAAAATCAGTCACATGTTAACGGAAATAACCGTTTAAACATGGAAGTATAAAACAGATGGAAGTTCAACCGCATTGAAATTCTTCGGGACTATGCTTGTAACCTTTAGTTTTGTAAACAATAAGAAAACAACATCAAGACTGTACTTAACGCTTAATCTTTATACGTTGACGCAAATAGATACGTTTATAATAGTTTAAAAATATAGTATTTTGAAGGTTCGCCAATTATATTCAAAAAAAACATTAAAAATGGCGCAACATAACGGCGAACAACAACTTTTTTTATAAACTTTATATTAAATGAATGGAGTACTACAAGAATGAATGGAGTTATCATATACAGCTAATAAAACTTTGAGCTTGAGTCAATTTTTTGGATTTTTTAAAAATTGTTTTAGCTGTCTTTTTTATCAAATGTCGTGTTATGACTTGCAAAAAAAGAAGACTATGCAAGAAAAGAAGCTTAAACTAACATATGCTTTTAAAATCAAGTGGTTCTATTTAATTACCGAGTTTTAATAAACCTTTTGTTAAATAATTGCAAATACTAATAGTTAAAAATTTGCAACATATCCCTAGAATAATTCATTTTTTAATGTTTTAATAAAGATCAATTCAGTGAATTTTGTTGTTTTTTTATCCAGTGAAACTTGTTTTTTTTTTTTTTAATTGTCGGTTACAAGCATACTCCCGCGACTTGAAATTGCTTTGATGTTTGCGGCTCGATGAACTTCCATCTGTTTTATACTTCCATGGTTTAAATAAGTAATTATATTATTACCATGATAGATATTTTCCGTAATTTATACGGAAATTTCCTTTAACACTTAATTTTTCCGTAAAATAACGGAAACTTTTTGGAAAATCTGCTGCCGGAAATTTCCGTAAAAACGTGATATTTTTTTGACAGTGTGAGCTACTCACCAGTCCCATCGCATTACGAAAATAAGTACTGCTCTAATCGACTATATCTTTCTACAGATTTGAATATAAAGAAAATTTTGGGGCTCTGAATCAATGTACAGAAAAACTATAAAAAAAATTAAATATTTTGTTCGCAAATCAAACAAAGAAAGAGTATTACACATGCCAAGAGTTCTTTACACATTGTAGAGAAAAAAAACCGTTCTAAATTAACTTTAACTCCAGACTGTACAGATTGCATGACATAGAATATTCACATGAAAGGGTCGGACACGCCAGAAACTAATATAGACTTGATGGGTGGGGGGGGGGTGTTAAAAATCACCAAAAAAGGTAATTTTTAACCCCCCCCCCCCCCCCCTAATTTTAATAATAAATATTTAAAAAAAAAAAAGAGTAAATCTTTTTTTTTCAAAATATTTATTATTAAAATTATATTTTTTTTATTTTCCAAAAAATTCACTAATACAAAGTATTTTTATATAATTAATTAAATAAACTTTAAGCATTAGAGGCCTTTCAAAAAATCATCAGTAGTGGTGTTTTGGTATTGTAGCAAGATTTTTGTAACCAAAATTAATTTAATTACATATGTTATTGTTGCTATGAGTAACTATTTTGATGAATTAAATTCTAATAAGTATTAATTAAAAGTATCATGTTTTTGTTTGTGCTGATGCTTTTCGTATGATAACAAAAAACTTTCATTGTTAAGCTCAAGGAAAACAAAAAGTTGAAAAAAAGGTTGAATTCCATTTTGGTAAGAATGTTGACTGGTATAAACGTGGTTTTCAAATCTATTAGCCCTAAATTTTATATTCGATAAACAATTATTTCACCAAATAAATGGTACAGCAATGGGTACAGATTTCGCGCTAGATTATGATTGTCTTACTATTGGGTTTCTAGTAGAGACAAAGCTTTTTCCAATAATCTTACCTCAGTATTTTTCAAACCGTGAAGTAGATGATATAAAAAAAATTTATTTTAGATATATTGATGATGGTTTTATAATCTGGCTAAAACATCTTGAAATCATAAGTTTTAAAATTTCTCTTACTGAATTAAACGAATAAATTAGTTTTACAACCGATTTTGGAAAAGTGTTTTCTAAAAATGATAACATCTACAGTGTAATTAACTTTTTAGACATCGCAATTACTCTTGAAAACTACAAAAAAATTCAAACAGACATTTATTATAAAGAAACACTCATGACTACTTAAACTATAACAGCCATCATATATTACACATCAAAAAGAATATTCCTTATAATTTAGCTAAAAGAATAATTGTTTTTACATCTAATTACGAAATTGAAAAACTTCGTATAGCTGAACTAAAGTCATGGTTGAAAGATTGTGAATATCCTGATGTAATTATAGATAAAGCATTCCATAACGCAAAACTACAAGGACCAGCGCCACAAAAGAAGTCTAAAGAAATATTTCCTTTAGTGACAACATTCTATAGTAATCTCAATTGTCAACCTTTAATCTCAGAAGCTAGCCTTTTACTCAAAGTATCTCAGAATGAAAGAGTCAAAAATGTTTATTCTAATATTCATCCGGTATTAGCTTTTAAACAACCTCCTAACTTACTAAGAAGACTTTTTCAAAAGTTGAAGAAAATAATAAGAAGATTGGCATATTTAAATTCAAAGACATTCAATATAAAATATGCAAACTCTACCTTCAAGAAGTAGTTGAGTTTGAAACTTCTAACAGTACTATCTGGAAAATAAAAAGTCACATCACATACAACAGCAAAAATATAATTTATTACCTTAAATTATTGGCATGCAAAAAACAAGCCACATATATTAGCAAAACTAACAATTAAAATTACGAAAAAAAAGACATATTTCTAGCTGCCTATCAACTAAAAGATTTGACAACCACGTTTATACCAGTCACGGTTCCTACCAAAATAGAATTCAACCTTTTTTTCAACTTTTTGTTTTCCTTGAGCTTAACAATGAAAGTTTTTTGTTATCATATGTTTTCTAGTATAAAAATTTAATAGTTAACGCAAAGCCTAGATTTTTAAATGAATATTTTCTAAAGTTTACTAAAAAACATTGAAGTAACGAAATAATATAATGAATAAGTAAAGAGATGGAAAAAAAGTTCTATAGAATTTTCTATAAACTTTTGAAACATAACCTATAGAAATTATATAGAATTCTATTGAATTTCTATAGAATTTCTGTTAACTTTTATAAAAATTTTTATAAAAAAATTTTTTTTCTACTTTTTGTTTTATAGAAAAAAGGTTTTATAGCAATTTCTACAGAAATTAATAGACATTTTATAGAGTTTCTATTGGCCATATGTTTCAAAAGTTTATAAAAAGTTCTATAGAACTTTTTTTCCTGGGTCAAGATAGCTAGTCTACTTAAATGACCTGTTTTTGAATTGCCACTTTATTAGCTCCCTACCAATGGAACAATTTTAGGCCATTACTTATATTAAACATTATCTGATCAGTTTTAGATCAAATCGATTTAAAGCCATAAAAAAGTTGATAAAATCCATTTAAATTGAATAAAAACTTTGCATGTGAAACTGGAAAAATATTTGATATGGTATTCAAAGAAAACCCAACATGTTATCGAGACGTCAACCCTACATGTCATCGAGATATCAACCCTACATGTCATCGATACATCAACCCTACAATTCATCTAGACATCAACCCTACAATTTATCTAGACATCAACCCTACATGTCATCGAGACATCAACCCTACATGTAATCGAGAAATTTTTTAATTGTTGTTAAGCAATTTTTTAATAATTGCGAATTTCAACTTAATGCTTTAAGTTAAAATTTGAAATCGTATAAGTTGTTGTTCCAAGGGAGTTAAAATATTATGGGGAGTTGATTTGTTTTGCCGACAGAGTTTAATTTATTTCAAGGGGAGCTAATCTATTTCGAAACAAATTAACTCCCCAATTGATTTATCACGCTACGGAAGTTATTTTATTATGGGGTTAATTGATTTCATGACAACGGCTGGATAAGTTAGTACTAGTAAAATATGGTTAAAAATCTGTTGTATCTAGCCAAAACCAAGCCTCACTAAACAATTGTAAAAGTCAAACACATGTATACAAAAAATTTTAAATTTAAAGAAAAATTTGTGTGTTGATATTTTTATTTCACAAACTTTTTCTACCATAAATTATAAATTTTGTTATATGATTTTATTACTTAACTTTGAAAACTTTGAAAAATAAATAAAGAACAGAAAGATATTAAAATATTAGAAATTTTTATTTAGAGGCCTTGTTTTTGTAAAAAAATATTTTTGCAATGTTTTAGTAGCTTTTACATAATGGTATGGGAATCCAAACACAGCCATATTTTTAAAAAATTTAAACCTGTTTAGGCTACAGTGTTTGCTAATGGAGATGGTGGTAGTTTTAAACCGGTCAAAAATAATGTAATAATAGTAATTTATTGCAATATATTATTAATAATATTATATAAAACTTGGATCTAGTATACATTGAATAATATTGAAATAATTTCAAGTATTATTTATATTAACTAGTTTTAGTTACTAAAAAAATCTAATTTTATTCTTGATTTTTTAGTTAGATACCTTTTTAACTTTTGTCACAACACTACAAATAAGAGTTCAAATTAGCCTTTATACAGAAATTTATAAAGAAACTATCATTACTAAAATTTGTTTCAGTTTTGTTCTAAATTGGACAGGAAAAAAGATTTTTAACATCATTTCAACATTTACTTAGCATTGTAATTTGCATAGTAGTTTTTATACCACATAGCTTTTTAAGAGTGTGTTTTAGAAGATCTTTTAGTGGTATTTGTACTTAATAGCCATCTATTTGAATGTTCTTGGAATAGCATTTAGCTTTTGAAGAACTTATACTATTATATAAAGGATATATGGGGCAGGCGATTTTTTCAGCACCATTTCTTAGATGCTCATATGTTGATTTCGATTTCAGATCAATGTCTTGAAGTTAGCTCAAACACCAAAATATGCTGCTTTCGCTACTGTTTTACGTATATTTTAGTGTAGAATCAACTTAAAAAAGAACCTCAAACAGATAATTATCCAAGGCCGACAACACGGGGGGGGGGGGGAATGCCAGGAGCATGCGGGGGCGACACACGTCCAAGAGACACAAAAAACTAACCTTTTATATAGAAGTTTGCTTCTAAACTGCTTACGGGTGGTATTATGGTTTATCTTCCTCCGGCTAATTGCCATATAAAGCCCACATTACCAAGGCCCGCAAAGACAAGTTCAATTTTTTCATCTTTAAAATAGGTTGATATTGCTTGTGGGTTTGTTTGTCTTTTTTTTTTTTTTAATTAATTTTTCTGTTAATTAAAATTAAGTTGATAATGCCGCCAGGCGGCAAAGTAAATTTCTGCCGAAAGGCCGACTTTTTAGGAAGGCGGAAGCTGTAAGCGGCGTCCTCTCCTTCAATTTTTAGCTGCAAAACGTTCTTTCTTCCGCCTCCAGTAGCTTCCGATAAACGATAAAATATAGCAAAAACATTTGCTAAATAATATAATCTTTTTTGTACTAAAAAATAGAAAATAAACTTTTTAATTTAAATTTAATAGTTCAGTAAACTAAGGATTGACAGGTCTGCGCAAAATTTATATAAAAATTTTTTCAAGCAGCGTGTTGAAGCGAACAGACGCGTTTTTTCTACAGCGTGTTAAATTTTAAATTAAACATGGAAACCTCATTTAAAAATATAGAAAAATTAATTATCAAGAAGTTGGAGGAACAAAAGATATGTATATTACAAGAAACAGAAAAGTTGTTGAAAGAACTGTAGAAAAAAGCTTCGCGTCGATAATGAGTGCAAACTTGAAAATATTAACGGAAAGAATAGAGAAAATTGAAATATATGTAACAAATAATAAATCCAACATTATGAATATCGAAAAAGATCTGAACGATGTCAAAACAACATTAAACTTCCAAGAAACAAACCTTATAGATAAAATAAAACAAATTAGAAAGTGTTATGACAACGAAGTAAATATGTTGACCAAAAAAACAATCGATCTCGAAAACAGATCTCGACGAAACAATCTGCGAATAGATGGAGTAAAAGAAAAAGCAGGTGAAACCTGGACTGAATGCGAGGATACAGTTAAAGATATTTTTAAAAACCAACTAAAAATAAATAGCGAAGTTGTTGTAGAAAGAGCACATAGAGTAGGCAAAACAAAAGATAGTAAAATACCTAGAACTATAGTTCTGAAACTTTTAAATTATCAAGACAAGAACAAGATTCTTAACGCTGTTAAAAACTTGAAAGGTACTGGTGTATTCATCAACGAAGATTTCGCAAAGGAAACTATCGAGAGTCGCAAAAAGTTGTGGGAAGAAGTCAAACGTCTACGCGGTGAAGGAAAGTACGCCATTATCAAGTATGATAAAATTTTTTGTAGAGAATTTAAAAATCCCATCCCTAACTTTAAGTCCTAAAAAGAAGCCTTTCTAAAAGTAAATGCTCAAATAAAATTATATTTAAAAAAAAAAAAAGCATGGCTGGAATCAGTGACTTTGAATCCATGCGTTTTAACTTTAATGAAATAAATGATGTAAATATAGACCCCGATATAAACTATTCCTACGAGGCGCTTACGGATTGCTCATATTTTTATTTGTTTAACTGAAACCTGGATTTCAAATAACATAGATAATACTTCGAACTTTTATATTCCTCATTTTAAATTAATTTCGTTTAAAAGACAAGTAAATAAACGCGGCGGAGGAGTCATTATATATGTGAATGAAAATTGTTTATTACGTTAGGAATGATTTAAGTGCTTCTGATAGCGATAAAGAAATTTTGACTATTGAAATTATGAACAATCAATCTAAAAACATATTATTAAGCTGTTGTTATCGCCCACCTGACGGCGTGAGCGAGAACTTGAGCATTTTTTTTGAACAAAGTATTTTCAAAAAAGGTATTAAAGAAAACAAAAAGAACTTCATTATTGGAGACCTAAATATGAATTGTTTTCTTTATAATGAAGATAACAAAATTAAAAACTTTTACGACTCCTTTTTTGAGGCGGGAGCAATTCCTTTAATAAACAGGCCAACTAGAGTAACAAAAAACTCGACGTCTTTGATTGATAATATTATTACAACAGATATATTCAACAATAATATTAAAACAGCTATCCTAAAATCTGATATAACTGACCATTTTCCAATATTCTTGACAATTAATTCTGAAATTAAAAATAAAATAAACAAAATTAAAATCCGCATTTTTAACCATACAAATATAAAGTTGTTTAAAAACCAACTATCGTTACTGCACTGGAAGCATATTAACTTCAATGACAATGCAGACAAAATTTATGATAACTTTTATGAAACCTTTTACTCCGTTTATGACGCAAACTTTCCTATTATTGAAAAGACAATAACTCCAAAATATAAAAATAACCCCTGGATAACAAAAGGATTTAAAAAATCATCCAAGATTAAACAGAAGCTGTATATAAAATATCTTAAAACAAAATCATTAGATAATGAGAAAATATATAAAAATTACAAATATCTCTTTGAAAAAGTTCGTAAAAATTTAAAAAAAAATTATTACACAAGACTTCTAGATAAATTCAAAAATAACACAAAACGCAATTGGCAAATAATGAACGAAATTACTGGCAGACAAAAAAAATGCTCAGGTTCTCTTCCCCAGATGGTTATAGTGGATAACAAACGCATATGCGAACCAAAAGCTATAGCTCATGAGTTTAACAAATTCTTCACTGACATTGGTCCTAAACTAGCAAATAAAATTCCTTATACCAAAGCAACATTTAACGATTTTCTAGTACAGATGGATAATTGCATTAGTTCCAACGAATTATATTCTGAGCTAACTTTTTATGAATTCGAAAAAGCATTCAAATCCCTTAAAAAAAACAAAGCAAACGGAGCAGATGACATAAACGGTAATATAGTTATAGAATGTTTTGAACAATTAAAAGATATACTTTTTAAGGTTTATGGAGCATCTATTCACCAAGGAGTTTTTCCGGATCAATTAAAAATTGCTAAAATTACCCCAATTTTAAAAGAGGGAGATCAAACAAATATCAGTAATTATCGTCCTATCTCCGTCATCTGCACATTCTCAAAAATACTAGAACGCATTATGTATAATAGATTATACAATTATTTCCTTTCTAATAATTTGTTATACGCCAACCAGTTTGGTTTTAAAAAAAATAATTCGACGGAACATGCAATTATCCAACTTGTACGTGAAATTTCAAATTCTTTTGAAAAATCTAAATTTACATTAGGTGTTTTTATCGACCTATCGAAGGCGTTCGATACTGTAGATCATGAAATTTTGATACAAAAACTGAAATACTATGGAATAAATTACAAAGTTATAAAATGGTTCCGAAGTTATTTATCTAACCGTAAACAATTTGTTTTTAGTAATAGTTGTTATCCAAATGAGTTCCTAAATGTTTCATGTGGCGTTCCCCAAGGCTCCATTTTGGGACCACTGTTGTTCTTGATTTATATAAATGACCTAAATAAAGCCTCAAATTTAATGAGTATAATGTTTGCTGATGACACCAACTTATTTCTTTCCGATAATGATATTTACAAACTCTTTTCTAGTATGAACGATGAACTTAAAAACATATCAAAATGGTTTATATGCAATAAGCTAACTCTTAACAGTAACAAAACAAAATGGATTCTCTTCCATCCAATCGCAAAAAAACCTTATTTACCCCAAAATTTACCAGAAATCTTTATTGATAATACTGTGATAAAAAGACACTATGTCACAAGGTTTTTGGGTGTTTTTCTTGATGAAAACATCACATGGAAAGCGCATATTGACTATATTAGCACAAAAATTTCTAAAAGCATTGGAATTTTATATAAATCGAGAACATATCTATGTAAAAAAGATTTAACCCAACTATACTACACATTTATTCATACCTATTTAAATTATGCAAATATTGCTTGGGGAAGCACAGAAAAAAGCAAATTAAAATGTCTTTACCGCCGTCAGAAGCATGCGATCCGTTTAATTAATTTTGCGGATCGATACACTCATTCCAAACCTTTTTTTATTGAAATGAAAATTCTTAATATTTACGAACTTAATGTGTTTAATGTTTTATGCTTTATGTATTTGTGGAAAAATGACTTATCCCTACCTATCTTTAAAGTTCTCTTTTGTGAAAAACCAATAAATAAATATACTCTTAGAAATAATAAATTTTTGCATAAACCTTTTTGTCGAACAAAGTTTAACCAGTATGGTATTGCTTATCGTGCGCCATATCTTTGGAATGAAGTTGTTTTGCCAAACTTTAATATATTTTACACTTTTCCAATTTTTAAACATAAACTCAAAAATTTAATTTTATTTTCCGATGACATAATAAGGTTCTTCTAATTGTAATTATGTACCTTTATTTAGAACTTTTTAATTGTAAAATACGTTTTATGTTAATTGTAAAATACGTTATATGTAACGACTCTTTTTGTTTTACTTTTCTTTTTGTTTTACTTTTTATATGTAACGACTCTTTTTGTTTTACTTTTTATCTTTTTGTTTTACTATTTACTTTTACTGTTTATTTTATAAATAGATTATATACATTGTAAATAATTATGCTAAATGCTTGTAAAAGGTTCTGATGATAAGATCAGTACGATCTTCTTTCAGAAACCTTGTTTGTATTTGTTAAAGTATTGTATTACGACAAATGTAAACTTAAAATGTAAAAAAAAAAAAAAACATACCTGTCAATCTTTACTTTACTGAAGTATTAAATTTAAATTAAAAAGTTTATTTTCTACTTTTTTGTACAAAAAAGATTATATTACTTAGCAAATATTTTTACTATATTTTATTTTTTATTTTTTTAAAGAAAAATATTCAATATACATTTCGTCGGCCCTGTTATCAATTTTTTTAATGATAAAAACTATTAAAAGATTGTATTATAAAGGTTTGTCGGTTGCCGGTTTTTTAACCATATAGCATCAGTAGCCGGTAATCATGCTAAAAACAACAACAACAAAGTTCAAGTAAAAGTAAAGTATGTTCATATCGATTATTACATAAGATATTTTTGTTTTATTAAGCTATAATAATATCATTATACATATATATATATATATATATATATATATATATATATATATATATATATATATATATACATACATATATATATATATATATATATATATATATATATATATATATATATATATATATATATATATATATATATATATATATATATATATATTATATATATATATACATATACAATATACAATATATGTATATATTGTATATATATATATATATATACATATATATATATATATATTGTATATATATTGTATATATATATATATATATATATATATAATATATATATATATATATATATATATATATATATATATATATATATATATATATATATATATACAATATATATATATATATATACATATATATATATATATATATATATATATATATATATATATATATATATATATATATATATATATATATATATACACAATATATATATATATATATATATATATATAAATATACAATATATATATATAAATATATATATATATATATATATATATATATATATATATATATATATATATATACAATATATATATATATATATATATATATATATATATATATATATATATATATATATATATATATATATATATATATATATATATATTTATATATAGGTACGTAGACTGATTTTTTTAAATTAATTAAATACTAAAATATTGTATATCATTAGAAAGCCCTCAAATACAGTATTTTAACGGTGAAAAAATTATGAAAATCGGACAATTCTATAAAAAGTTATAGCGTTTTGAATAGCAAATTTCCGATATATGGATTTATTGAAGAAACTGGTTCCAAAATTATTTTTTTTCTCACTAAAATTGTTATAACTCTGTCAAATCTTATCCAAATGTCTATATCTTGGTATCAAAAGGTAGATGTAAAAGTAAGCTACAAGTTCATATAACTCTATAAATAAAAGGAGTGTCTAGAGGACCGGAGGGGGTACGGAACACCCTTAAAAAAATACAAGTTTTTCACACGAAAGAGTGTTTTTCTAATAAAATATGTCATCTTTATACACAAAAAATTCTTCTAATTTGCTTCCATTCCATTTCCAAATATTAGTGGTCTATTTTAGATTGAAGGGTGGATGTCTTCCTTACATTTTAACACCCTCGTAGTGAAATGCTACATTCTTATAAATATTTAAACCTAGAAATAATGATTATATTTTGTATGAGAAAGTTTAAATTAAATTTTCTTACTTTACAGCATATACAAGTGGTGTATAAGTTGACATAAGGGACGGGACATGTGCCACGTCAAACGCCCCCCCCCCTGCCCAGTTGTATCCAACCTAAAAAAAAAAAATTTAAAAGATATTTGATGGTTTTAAATTGAGTTTATTGGAAAAGAGAAACAAGTATTCAAGATTATTTTTATATGTTAGTACGGGTAGGGGCGTGTGCTACACCCAACGCCCCCCTCCCCTTCTCAATCAAACTTGAAAAAAATGTCAAAAATTTTTTAAATGTTTTTAAATGATGTTTATTTAAAGAGACATTACTTTACTAATCTTTCCTTACAAAATGCAAGTTGGAGTATCCACCCTAAAAATAGGCCAAAGATAAAACTAATTTTAAAACTTATATTTTAAAAAGTTTCAAAATACAAAATATAATAAATTTAAGTCTTGGCTTTTAGTAAATGATACTGTTTAAAATTCCAAGAAGGAAACTAAAAAAATCATTCATACATAAATCAAACATACCACTTGTAGCAGATGTAAAAGGGACTAAAATTAAAAATTATTTATAAAATATACATATTGCAGTCATCGAAAATATATACACATATTAAAAAGTAATAATTGTTAAACTTACCATTCCTTGAAGGCAAAGATATAACCAAAAATTCAAAATTTGTAATAAAAAATTAAAAAATTAAATCCTGACTTTAAAATTGGTAATCTTTGAAATCTATCCACAGATTAAAAAGTACTAGATAATTATCTCTATAATCATAAACACATACAAACTTATACAAACTTACCAGTGATTGTCTGTGTAGATTCAACAAAAAATAATTAAAAAAAAATTGTATACAAAATAATTTGAAATTGTCAACAGTAAGTTACAAATGTAACAATCATTAAAGCTGTTCTGCTTTAAAATGTAATATAAAACAATTATTAGTGAAAGTGATAGAATGAATAAATAATATGAACAACATATTAATCAATGATAGCTTAAAAAATGTTAATGATAGTAATAATTTCATTATACCACACTTTAAGGGATAACACAATACTAATGAATTAAATAGTGTATACAAATAGGAACATAAATTCAATAACCATTCAGAAACATTTCTAAATCATAAATTTACCAGCAGAAAGTTGTGCACATGGAAATATTGCTAATAATGAATTAGAAATTGGTAATCTTTAAAATCTATTCACAAAAAAAAGTAATTGTAAATTAAAAAGTAATCGCTAATTCTATAATCATTAACATATACAAACTTATACAAACTTACCAGTAGTAGGCTGTGTAGATTCGACTAAAGAAAAAAAAATTGTACACAGTAACTTGAAATTGTCAACAGTAAGTTACTAATGTAACAATCATCAAAGCTGCTCTGCTTAAGGTGCAATTACTGTACTCACAAAATAAATATAAACAATAAAAATATAACTATTAAAATATAAAGATAATATATTTATAAGCAACAAGCTAACATTAGCAATGGTTATAAACAGTAAACGCAGATAAAGTTTATCTTTACCTGTGAGACAGATAACACAGATAAAGATTATCTTTAAAAGATAGTATACAATAAGTAAAAAATGTTAACCTAAGTTTTTTAAGTGTTTTTATATTTAGGAAGATATTTTAAATGTTCATTAACATTTACTTATTGTATACTACTTTCTCTTTGTGATTAAGTAAATGTTTTTTTAATGAATAAACTTAAAATTTATGTGATTTGTACTTATGAAATCTTAAAAAGTCAACAAAAAGCCTGGTTGGATCTAAACAAGAAATAAATATTAGACATGCTTGTATAATGATTTAAACACTAAACCACAGATAATAAATCAAAATGATAAATCATAAATGACAAAAGATTTTTTGTCATATTTGGATTATATATAAGTATATAATCCAAATATGACAAAATACAATAAAAATAATATCTTCTGTTATATCTTAAAAACACTTAGAAGTTTTTTTTTTGTTAAAACTAATGAAGTATACAATATACTTATGTATATATATATATATATATATATATATATTATATATATATATATATATATATATATATATATATCTATATATATATATATGTATATATATATATATCTATATATATATATATATATATATATATATATATATATATATATATATATATATATATATTATATATATATATATATATATATATATATATATATATATATATATGTATATATATATATATATATATATATACATATATATATATATATATATATACATATATATATATACATATATATATATATATATATATATATATATATATATATATATATATATATATATATATATATATATATATATATATGTATATATATATATATATATATATATATATATATATATATATATGTATATATATATATATATATATATATATATATATATATATATATATATATATATATATATATATATATATATGTATTAATAAAATTGTTAAATGCTACTAATCAGTTCAAAAGTTTAATAGGCTATTATAAACTACATAGCAATAAGTATGTTGTATACTTCATTAGTGTAATCTTAACAAAAAAATTCATAGAGTATTTAAAATATTAAATGTGTTTTTAAAAAATTAAAACTCTTGATATTGAATACCAACAGTTTTAACTTAAAACATTAATCTTTTTTTATCTTGGACATAAAGTTACATAAAAAACAATGAAGAGTTTTGGATTTGAAAATAGTTATTAATACTATTATTAAGAATAAAAAAAATTGAACATACTATCTATTAGGGCATCTAGCACAGTTTTGCTCATTTTTTTCCATGTTTAATTAAATCTAATAACGTAAATCAAAATAATTCAAAATAAGATTATTTTGAATTGCCCCCTTATCCGGATTTCGGTGCCACCCGGATTTTGCTTACCAAAAAAAAAACAACAGAAAAACCGAATTTAGGTACCTAACATCCAACACTAATTAAACTAATTGCTTATAATTATTTTTCGTTGAAATTTGGCATGTGCATAGAAAAGACATGAAACAAACTATTTTAATAATAGAAAAAGCGGACTCTACATTTCTTCGACCACAAAATTATGAGAGAACATCAACTTAATATTCAGGAGCAAAATATTTTATAAAAAAGTTCAGTAACCATATATAAAAGTATAGTTGATGGTAAAGTTTTCACATTATGAGTTGATTGTAAAGTTTTCACATTATGAGTTGATGGTAAAGTTTTCACATTATGAGTTAAGGAACTAAAGTTAAACATATTGTAAAGTTTTCACATTATGAGTTGATGGTAAAGTTCTCACATTATGAGTTGATGGTAAAGTTTTCACATTATGAGTATGAGTTGTTTAACTTACCAGGTGTAGCACAAAAGGTAGATACTAAAATTAAAAAATTGCAGCAAATGGGAAATCCATACACAACAAGTAATAATTAAATAAGTAGGAAATACATATATTTATTTATATTTCTTTAATGGTTAATAAAAGTTATGTTATAATAACTTACCAGCTGTAGTCTGTGCATATTGGACTAAAGATAACAAAAAAATTGTATAATCAAAAAAAAAACATCTTGAAATTGTCAACAGTCAATAAAAACAGCAGTTGTTAAATCAATTCTGCTTTACGTACAACAACTTTACTGACAAAAAAAAAGGTATAAAAAAATAATAAAAAACAAATTATAATACTGTATT